GCAAATAGACAAATTAAGAATGTTCTAATGACAAGTCTGGCTGGAGGGGCTACCTGCCAGTGAGAGGTTCGGGTTTCCTTTTAGGTGTTTTGGGTACAAATTACTGGGTAGTGTTTTGCATTAAATAGTGAAGCTTCTCTGTGAAAAATCTAAGCTTTTGTGCACAGTGAAAGATAACTAATCCTTTCAAGCAGTTTCAGACTCTTGTTCTCCTTTGTCAACTAAATATATTTTTATCAATGTAGGATAGTAAATAAATGTAAACTATTTTGCCTGATGAACGTCAATGTTTAACTGAAAGTGCCCCAATTTCTATTTTTACATTTACCACAATATTGTTCCTCCATAATACATGCTGAATGAATCCCAAGTTGGTGTCTTCCGATCTTATTCCACTAAATTGTGTGGAGAAAAGCAGTTGCTGTCTTATTCCATATTTAATGTAGGATCAGTTATTCAGCATTTCTCTACAATAATGTTTAATTATTGTTAGATTAAATATTAGTTTTAATGTTTCTCGACATGTTCTGAAAGCTGCTTGATAAACTAATCGTTAAATAAAAGACTGGATTTATTTCCAGCTTATGATAGTCTCTGGCTGCTGATACTTAATATTTCCGTGTTGCAATACATATAACTAGTGAAAAGTGAAGTAGTAGTTCCTATGAAGCTCACACCACCACTGCATATGTACAGACATGTGTGCAGATCTTTGTGAACTGTGTTGTATGTGACTTGTGCAAATTTGTGTGTGTGCGAGCATATGTTCAGTGTTATGCATGCACTGTCATTCCTGCATGGATGCATTGAGTGTGCCACTTTAGTACAGACATTTGGTATACATTGAACGTAGGTGTCTGCTTGTGTGCAACAGTCCTTCATATGTTTGAGAAACCAATGGGCACCAGCCCAATGACCTGTTCGCTCATTAATTCTACAGTGGGCTTGTGTGCGGAGGGTGCAAGGTTAGACACCCACTGATTAGTGGGGAAAGTGATTTCAATGCTACACATGCTATCAGGACAAACATTGTACTCCAGGTATTGTTTTAGATCCAGCTACTATCCTGGAGCCAATAAAGTGCTGATCCAGATGTGGGTCTCATTTAAACCATTGGCAATCTAAAAGTTAATTCACAGGATTTATAGTAGTAAATAGAGGCTGTATCTCAGCCAAATCAATGTGTTTTCCAGTTTTAAAGTATTATTACAAGCTGGTGGTTAACTGGGAAAAGGGGAGGGAGGGCGACTGTTGCAAGTCAATCAAGAGTCATTCATCACATTTTTTATCCAAACCCTTCTTTTCCTCTCCCCTCCCCCTCACCTCCCACATTACCCAGTCCTCCACTGTCTGCAATCTCAGAAGTAGACCTTTTATTAAACAAATACTGTTTCAACTGATTGTTTTAATAAAGAGTTTGGGGGAAATGTGCACTGCCACAGATGGAGGCCGCAATGGGAGATGAGACGATAGCCAAATGATGAATGCACTCAGATACAGAACTGTTCTTTCATACAGCAGACTGGCAGAAAGCTAAAGCCCTAACACTGACCTCGGGCCGTTCACTGGTTCGTGTTTATATACCATTTTTTTTAAATTGAAAGACTTTGATCCTTCATCTGGCAATTTTTTGTTCGATGTGGCCCATGCTCGTTTATTTAGCATTGTTCAGTCGCTGCGCTTGCCTTACTGTGCCTTTGCAGGCTACTTTTTAAGGCAGCAGGAGTTGGGAACAAATGCCCATTTTATTTCCAATTTGCTTGAGAGGTTTGCTTATAATACCCTTAGGGAACCAAGTCAATCCATCTTTTCCTTTAAAGGGAGTGGAATATTGCACATTTGTTCCTAAAATTGCTTCGCAGAACAGTCTGGCCAGGAAGACACTAGATAAGACAGCCTGTATTTATACAGTGCCCTTCATGGAGGGTAGCATCTCAGAGCACTAAATACATTGTGAGAGGCAGAAGAGAGGCTCAAGTGAGGTGCAGTCCAGGAGTCTAAACCTACAACTATCTAGTTGGCAAAGATAGGCTAAGTATTAAATTCAGGTTGCTGATTGACTTCTCATTGACTTTTTAAGGGCAGATGTAATGTACACAGAGTAAGCTTAAACCTTTGAGAAGAAAGAATTAGCATTTTTAGTAGCGCATCACCCTATTGGAATGTCTCAAAGCACTTTACGGTAATTGTGGTCGAATGCAGTGACCATTTTTGGGGTGCAGCTATGACAGTCATTTTACTCACTGCACGATCCCACATACAGTCATGAGGTGCATGATCATTTAATCTGGAGAACAGTACAACGGGAGAAACTTTGTTCTCTTTTCAAATAGTCTTGAGGGATCTTTAACGTTCAACTGAAAAATAAGCATATGGGTCTTTGGTTTAATGTCTCATCCGAAGGACATCACCTCCAACAATGCAGCCTTCCCTGGTACTGCAATGGAATATCAGCCTGGTATGATACATCGACCTTTGAGACAATTTTTGTGCCATTTGAAAATATAACCCAATTTCACGAGGAGAAAACTTGATGATCGTCTGGTGTGTACTAATATTTATTTTTGTTTCTTTCTAGCTATGTAGTATATATCGGACTTATCGACAAGCTGTATGGCTGCTTCTTATCCATACAAGGACCTGTTGATGATCTTCCTAAGATTGCCTCCTTTCTACAAAATACTACTGCATTACTACATGGTCTGTGCAGGTTGGATTTTGCCGTCCTCAACAGGTAGGTGTCTCAATTATACAAGAACATGTCTCTGAAGACATCAGGAAGTCTTTGAATATTTCTAACAGCAGGCTTTCCTGACAGTCATGTGTGTAAAGACAGCAGAAAGTTTCATTGGTTCGGTGCTAAGATAGCTGAGTTCAGCGGTGACAGCAGTTCAGGCAGTGCAATTGGCCTCAATGTCTTTTGGCTAGGGAAGAAGAAAATGAGCCACTCCTAATCACCATCCAGTGACCTTTGATAGGAAGTGCATGCAAATGTGGACTGTGATTGGGCTCAGGTCTGATGTCTCCTTCCCTGGTCAAGTTGCCTGCCAACCTTTACTATCATTTTACACACGCATGGATTCTTTGGACCAGGTACCAGAGAGTAACCAGTATTGTGCTGCTATCCTTAGTGGTTCTGCAATTGCCCACACAGTAACAGCCACTCCACTTCAAAGTAACTCATTTTGCAGCTTTGAGACATTTCAAAGTGTCAGAGTGTTGTATCAAATGCAAATATTATTATTAAATCCATGAAAGTACTAAAGTTTGATATTTGGTCTCTGGCCACAATTTGGGCATAACTCAAATCAATTCGGGTCCACTCTTTTTCCAGTTACTTTCGCAAAGTGTTTTATATTGTATTATGCAGACCTCCGAGACAGAATATGTGTTTATGTAGGTATAGAGGTACGAATGTGGCAATTTTGTTTTCATCAAGGCAAGGCACTGCGAGAATAGAACACTTTTCCATTCTGAGCACTTGGGCGAAGATAATCCTGTGGCTGCTAAATCTCATGGCTTTGAAGCTCTTTATGTGTAATTTGAAAATCCCCTCATAATGGGAAAATCCCATTGTAAATTAAGATAATAAAATCTGTTAAACCTACCAGAAAGTGAAATATGCCTCCCACAGTATCAGCCGTAAGCACTCCCTGGGCACACATACAATCATAGAATATTACAACTCAGAAACAGTCATTGGACCCAATGAGGCTGGTATTTTTCTCCGCATGAGCCACCTAATCTATTCCCAATCTCGTGATATTCGCCATTCTCTTTAATATTCCTCTTCAAGCAACATTGGGTTCTTAATTCTCATTAAAAGAGTTGATGGACTCGGTGTTAGCAATGAGTAGCAGAGAATTCAGATTTCCACATTCCAACCATTAATTATGTTTGGTATGACCAGGCGTAAAATCAAGCTCTGCTTACCCCAAAGATCATACTTAATGTCAGATGGAGAAAAGCATTTTCTGCAGCAGTTCTTCTTTGGCTCTTTCCTGACAGAGGGTTTCATATAATGGCCAGTTCTGTGTGAAAGGTCCATCTCTTTAGGAGATTGAAAGAAAGGACTTGGATCCAGATAGTAAGAAGTTTTTTTTTCACAGAGTGTAATAAATAGCTGGAACAGGTTACCAAGAAGGGTGGTTCAGACCAGGACACAGGTCTTTAAGGTACATTTAAATGCAAAGAAGATAGGATTGGATTTTTGGGAAGTGTGAGATTAAAAGGACAGAAAGGCTTCTTTATCTGAACAACTTGTGATTTTGTGAGCGTGTTGGACCAATACACACAGCAGGAAAAAGAATGTTGGGGTTCTTTTTGTGATACATGACTACAGCGTAGAGCTGATGGTAAGAAGCTACAACCATATTATCTGAAGGAACTAATGAGTCATTCAGCAGTTGATTAGTCATCTTACAGTCATATTTATAGGACAATACAGACATAGCTGATCTGAGGCTAATTCCTTCAAAACAAAATGAACTGCTGATCATGTGGAGTGGCAAAAGGTTATGGCAGTGGGTGATGTAATAGTTATCTTACATGGTGGAGAATATTATCTATATCACTGTTTCTTTCAATGATGTTGTCATGTTTATAAATAACAGACAGACAAAGAACAAAGATTGCATTCCAAACAGTCAGTTGTAAGAAAATATTTACACTCTAAGTTTTAAGCCCATTGACGGATAGGAACAGATAGTAATGCAGTTGCAATACTGAGCTAAGTGTCCAGTGCATTAATTGCAGTGCCCACTTGAGTCTTCTTGTTTTGTCTTGCTTAACTGTTTGAGCGCCAAACGGCTATTTTCAAACCACAAATGGACTTGAAGTTAATGAACAATAAGCGTGAGAGTTGTCACTTGATATCTGTGCTGAATGACTGGATCTAAAAACATTGGTATTGTAAATGTGCATTTGTAAACCAGAGCTGATTGCAACTTTCTATTTACAGACTTACAAACCATTAAGTTGTAATTCAGATGAGCAGCTTCCATCTAATAGATTTGCTTCCAATCCCGTTATTTAAATAGAAAATAAGTCTTAGGCATGAAGGACCTCTGATCTTTAATGTTGACTTGCAAAACCCCTTTAGGTAAACATGTCTGTGACACTGAGAGACTTAAAACATGGTTAACTTACCTTATTTTTATATTTTAAAAAATTAGAGCATTGAAATTCTTGGGCGACGCTCCTTACTGACTTCCACGGGATGGAAGGATTTTGTTAACATTAACTGAATCATTAACAGAATTAACTATATCTGCTCCGTATCTGTAAACTGTATTTGTTGCAAATACTTGCCAGAGACTGGGAAAGAGGAAACAAACAAGGAGCCTGCACTTTCCACTGGCACCAGCATTGTGGAGCAGACATTCTTTAAGGGGATCCCTTTAACTGATATGACTGCAGCATGTCTGCTGCACTGTTTACTGAACAGAATGGATGGTTTGCATCTTGTATACTTGACTCTAAAGCAGTCTCTGCTCAGTCTTTGTATAACATGTTGAGATGTGCTTCTTTTGTGAAGGTCACTGTATGAGTACAAATTGCTTTTTTTTGTGTTATTGCCTCTTAATGTTCTGAAAAAATAACTCACGGTGAAATCACTTCTATTTCACCATGGGAGGGGGCTCCAAAAATTGTGCATTTTGTGTTAAAAAAATGATACCTCTGTCCATGAATGTCCATAAATGTAACATAAAACCTACTAATCACCCTTTCTAAACAATGAACACCGCTTTTGGAACGTGGCTAAAGTAATCGTCACACAGCTGTTCTTTCATAACCACAGTTAAGTACTTACGGTTTGGTTTGTTAGGAAACATTCTGGACAATCATAGTATGAGATGGTTAACCCTTGGCCTATGAGCATTGTTTTCTGTCCAGCATGCTGTTATGGCTTTAGAAAGAAGCACACATCTGGAACGTTTGGACCTGCAGACTGTCCTGGGGGTTGTTTTGTTGCTCGAGACATGGAAAACCGTGGATAGATGCTGAAAGAACGGTGAGGACGGTAACCCTAGCGACTGCCTCCAAACGACTAAGTAATGAAAACAAAGCGCTCAGTGAGCTGTTGGCATTACTCTGATCATTGTGTTCTGCCGTGGCACCAACACTGCTCATACATAGCTCTGTAAAATATTTATGTAAGACAAGAGGAAACCTCTGATTTCCCAAGGAACAGTTTACATCTGACGTGTAGGAAGAATTTCAGTAAAAATAAGCTATTACATATCAGGACTACAGAACCCATAGCCAGCAGGGAGATTGATATCAGTTGTCCCAAGCTGCTGAAAAAGCGAATGACCATTTTTTTTCTGGCGGATTGTTGGCCAGGACACTGGGAGAAAGGCCCTTCCCTGTTGGAATAGTGCAATTGGACTTTTAATGTCCGTCTGAACAGGTCCTTTGGTCTAACATTTTCATCCGAACGCATCTCTGGACAATTTGTTGCTCCCCAGCTGTCCAGTTGCCCAGCTGTCATTTCTATGATGGCAACATTCGAGTTCAATGGCTCATCCCAGCAAGGTTTAGCCTTTCAACCTCCAGGAGAGCCACAGCACAATAGGATTTAACTCCGACCATCCAGAGAATCGATCGATTTCTGGGTCAAGACCCTAAAAACTTCAGGGAATAGTGAGGACATAGGTTCAGAGGCCGTAGGATAAACCCAGATGACTAGTCTTCTAGCTGACCAGACCTTGGGCAAGTTTCCTTACTCCACACAGAGCCTAATAATAATCCCTCCAAAACCAAAAACAATAATAAATTGGTCATTTTCAATCCACGACTGTTTGTGGGACATTGCTGTGCGCAATTGGCTGCCGCGTTCGCCCACAAATATACAGTCAATTCACTTTACAGTATATTCTGTGAAGAAGCGCTATATCAAATGCAAGGATTATTATTATTATATTATTATAGTCAGGGGTTAGGGGAACCACACTGAAGACTGCCTCACTGTGTAGAAGTTCAAAACTAGGTTTAAATCAAATCAAATATTTTTCTGTCCCCCCCACCCCCCCCCACCACCACCACCACCAAATTGAACACCTGTACGGTACGTGGCTCCTATTCTCGACGCGTTTCCGCCAGTCGACATTTAACCCATATTCTCGACCGAACCCTCTCGTTATTCCCCAGCTTGTCTCCTTACAACTCTTAGTGACCCCCCCATTCGATTCCACACACAATTTCGCGCCGCCCCCCCCCATCACCGCCACCGCCACCGCCACCGCCACCGCCCTACAGCGAGCGCTATTAGTCAATTAATTCATCTTAATGCATAAGTCAAATGTGTTCTTCAGCTGTACTCCTTGTGGTGTGTGTGTGTGTGGTGTGTGTGTGTGTAGTATTTGGTTGTATTAAGTTTCCATCTGGAGACCGACTGTTGCTGTGACTCGGGCTCTTTGATTCCTGTTAATAGTCGATGTATTGACTCCTGTGGTTTCAGTGCTGTGTGTGTGTGTGTGTGTGTGGGGGGGGGGGGGGGGTGGGGGGGGAGTATTGCTTTGGGGCGGGACATGAGCCCATCCCTGTGTCAGGGGGTGTGGGGGGGGGTCCCAGACCCCTATATAATCGCTCAGGACTGAAGGAGAGGAAGAGCGCACTGCGCTAACAGGAGCTGAGCGGTTGGGGATCTGCTCCCGAGGACCAGGGAGGAGGCGGCGGAGGCTCCTGGTTTGGAAGTAGGGGTTTCACTCCAAGTCTCAGCTCCAGTCCAGAGCTC